AAAATAATAATAAGATTTGAGTTAAATTGATGAAGTTAGAGAGGTCTGAAAAAGGGGCCACGACAATATGCTTAAGTGGAATCATTCTTTAGGTCATCATGATTATACCCCCCCCCCCCCCCCCGCTTGAAAAGTGTGATGGTATATAGTAATCGGTATTTCCGTCCGTCTGTACGTCCGTCTGTTACGCTTTGGGGTACCCATCTCTTATCCGCAACTCCTCTCATACCACTGAAGGAAATTTAATGAAACTTTCGCAGAATCTTTATTACATATTGCCATTGTGCACCTCCTATTTTACTTTTTGATCTGACATATATTTTTGATTTTCCAGAGCAAAACATGGACACTGCCACTATATTCATATGGGAGGCGGGGGGTATCATTTAGTGAGCTCATTGCTCACAGTACCTCTAGTTTATTTTTGAAATTTTGTGGTTATATTTAAATATTTCAGGTAGTAGTTGACTTAAAATCATCAAACTTTGTCAGTTGATTCATCTTCATGATCTTGGGCCCTTGAAGAATGTCAACTGAAAAGTAGATCACTGTGACATACTTTTGAATTGTTTGCATATATAATTAAATACGTCAGGTATTAATTGGATGCATTGGGTCCCCAGAGTATGTCAACTAAAAAGAAGGCAACTGTGACCTATTGTTGGAATTTTACAATGATATTTTACTGTTTTGAGAAACTAATTGGCCAATAATCATCGACGGAGTTTATGTATCTTGGGTCATTAGAATGTGTCAACTGAAAAGTAGGTCACAATGACCTTGTTTTGGAAGTTCAATTTACGGCTATACTTGTATATATAAATATTCGAGGTACTAATTGGCTCTGAATCATCAATCTTTGTCAGCATAAGTACACTGTACTTGAATCCGGAAAAAATGTCAATTAGAAAGTAGGTCATAGTGATCTTCTTTTGGAATTTTAAGGCAATATCTAAATATTTTAAATAAAAATAAACTTAAGGTATCCAATCGATAAAAGGACATAATTTTCTAACCTTTAATATTCATCCTCTTTTAGATACTTTGAAACCAATTCAAAGCAGTTTAGAGTAGAAAAGGATTTACCAGGAGAAATTTTCAAAAATATATTTTCCCGAGCAGTAATTAACTAATTAAGAATGCATTGAGGTCTATGGGAAAAAACAATTTTTGTAAAAAAAATAAAAATTTAAATACTATGAATATTAAAAAAAAAATGCTAAGGTGAAAAGATGCATATAATTATTAGGAACAGAAAAACGATTAAAAATATTTTTTACCCGATAGATTTTTAAAAAATGAATTTTATTGATTAAAAGCGAAGGGGTATAACTCTTCAAGGACGGGTCAAGGTAAAAAATTAGGACACGCTCCGCTCTTACATACTGAAACTAAACCATAAAGATTATGTCAACATATATATATTGAGTATACAACCAATATATGTCTGTCATGCATTCAAATTCATTGAATCTGAGGCTATTATGGATCAGATACCTTAACATCATCAAACTTTAATTGTCGGTTGATGCATTTTTGGATTTTGAGTGTTTTCTTAGTAATTACGTCACTTTTTAAATATTATTTTAGGGCGTTATCTTAATTAATATACAGGGTACTTAGAGGCTTTAAATAGAAATGATATGTTGTACAATTTATCAAAAGAGCGATCAGAGGTCCTTGGGCCTCTGGTTTCATAACAAATTGGCAATTAATGTAATGTATTACATGAAATTCTCGCATAAAGAACTGATGTTCCTTCGATCTTAGGACAAATACACACAATATGCAGAAGATGGTGAAATATATATAGCTGAATGGGGGCATACCCACAGGTGATCTCGTCTTTTTAAGGGGTACCAGTTACCAAATCATCTGTAAAATCGATTTGTGGTATCCTCCAGATTTGCAATTAAGTTTCTAATTTTTCATTTACCTACTTTGGACTTATTGTCAGTTTACTATAAACATCTTCTTAAATTTTACACAATTACCAAATCATCTTATGGTCCATCTCATGGATTCTGATTGTCGGTGTCCTGTAGATTTGCTATAAGGTTTTTCAAATTCATTTTCACCACAAGGGCCAAATAGGGGCCGAGAAACGTCATTTAACTTGTAGTGTTCCACGATCCTTGCCGACCGGTTTCCTGAGTGCAATGTAATTTGGCTCAATTCGTTGCGTTTATTTATTTGAAAGTGAATAACTTTAACGAATTCGTTGCTTGCTAGATCCAAAGTACATTTAGAAGCATAAACTTAATAGATGGTATAATATCTACCGCCATGTTTCGTCCTTTCTGCAGGACCCATAAGTTCTATTTTATTGTTCAGTGCATATATTTAATCAGTTTTGCATGCCGTAGAAAGTGCGTTTGAAAATTGTATTGATTTTTTTTTTCAAATCTTCACAAAATCTTTCTGCATTGAAATCTCTTTTTTTTGTGCATTTTATAAGAAGGAATGGAATCAATAGACCCACTTTTGATGTATGAACATATCTCCTCAAATTCAACAAGCCTCTTGTGCTCAAACCATTGAACATTTTAAACGTTATAAAATCATTTTGAAGAAAAAAACGTAGATTGTAAGGTGTATCATTATGTATTTCATGTACAACTTGCTTTCATTCCCAACATTTTGAAAATTTCCAAAGGTCCAAGGTCGATGTTCATACATGTATTTCAATTTTTGCCACTGCTGCGTCATCTTGCTCTAAAGGATTATTCAAGGCTATCGCTGATTTTATGTATGTCTGAAACTTGTGATTATTTTAGGTATCGCCTTGCAATCACCATCTTAAGAAATATTTAGTATATACACATCAATTCAGTTAAATTAACACAGTTGAACATAGAAACTGTTCTCAATGAGACAATGACAAAGTTGAAGATAATAAAAGTAACCGATCCATCTCCATATTCTGTAAAACAATTCAGATCTGTAAGTATGGCAGAAAACACAGTTCTCGGGTATTCTAGCGATGGGATCAGGTATCTAGAGGGAGTAAACATCCCTTGTTGACCCGATCACACCTGCAGGGAATTCTACGCATTGATCAAGTAGACATAACATTAGATAGTCAAATTTAGTATAAAAACTAGTGCTAATTGTAACAGGGACCGTTACAGATGTTCCCCAAACGCTCCCCAACTCCCTTTTGGTGCCATATTCCCTGTAAGCTTCATTAAATAAGACAAACTCGATGCATTTGAGACTTTAACAACGTTTACCCAGAAGTGTACCAAGTTCATTCAAATTTTAGCATTGCACGCGTGTGCATGTGAATGCATGTGCGTAATGACCATATCATCTTGTCTACACAATCTATATATTTAAATATACTAAATATTAAAGTATTTAATCTAAAACTATTAAAAGGATACGCTCATTCAAGTGTTTTTTTTGATTTTGCTCATTTCACATGCACGCACGTGCATACATGAGCATGGTAACCATATCTTCTTGTAGATGTCCGTTACATCTATCTATGTTCTAAATCTCACCCCGTTTGGTTGAAAACGAAGGGAGTTATAGCTGTTAAAGTTTCAGCCAATCAGATTGCAGCGCACGAACATGCTCGTGTGTGCATGTGCATGGTGACCATATTTTCTTGTAGTAGTCCAGTATATCTATCTATGTTCCAAATCCCATCCTGTTTGGTTGAAAATCAAGGGAGTTATAGCTATTTAAAGTTTAAGCCAATCAGATTGCAGCGCACGTGTATGCACGTGTTTTCATGATAATTGCTATATATCATGTTGTAGTATATACTAATGCATGGCTATTTTCAAAATTTCAAAGGATTTCGTCAAAAAACAAGAAAGATATTGAGACTTTAGTTTCAGCCAATCAGAACGAAGCGCACGTGCATGCGCGTGAGATCTTTCTATTTTGACCATGTCATATTGTCTATGCTTCTAATATATCCTTATATTATAAGTTTCAAAGCATTTCATAAAAATTTTTAAAAGTTACGCCTATATCAATTAAATCGGTCATTTCACATGTTGCACGTGCACGCTCTTGCAAGCACGTGCGCGCAAAATGACCTTCGTTCCGCAAATCTACATAACCTGTCTACTGACCCTAAAAACATTTCACCTTAGTCGGATGTATAGTTTACGAGATCATTCCTGGACAAAAAAGTACCCAGGAAGAAGAAGAAGAAAAATAATAATAATAATAAGAAACAGAGTAAAAACAATATGTTCCCCAACTTCGTTTGGGGAACATAACAAAGGCTAGGTATGAAAAACGTCATCTAATCAGACCCATGCAGTGAAAAGTTTTCTGTTTGTTATACAAAAAGCATTATATAACGACCATAGACTTTACAGAATGATGAGGTTGTTGAAATCCCTGTCACGTCAACTTTTTTGTCAACAGCTAGTTTTGGTTTATAAAAACTGATCGTACTCAAAGTACGTTATTGGGTATCGAATAAGTTAAGAGACCGAAACGCATACCGGGTATGTAGGTGATACAAATAATGAATTTATAAAATGACCAACCGGAATAAAAATATTATTTAATTGCTTTAAATATTAGTAATACACCAAAAGTCATGCTACATACCATTCAAGGACATTACTATGATTGATTTGATGATTGTATGTTGTTTAACGTTCCTCTCGTGAATTTTTCACTCATATATCATATACGACCACCACTTGCCGGTGGAAAGCTACGAATTTTGTCCTATACTCGACACTTAGGGCCTTTGAGCAGTGAGGGATCTTTTTCGTGCCAGCACCTACTGTGACACGGGACCTCGGTTTATACGGTCTCCACGTCCCACAGTGGGATTCGAACCCGCGACGTAAGGATCAACTCCTTATTTCGCGACTCTAGAGCAGACGCGCTAACCACTGCGCCACGCGGGCGACGACATTACTATGAATAAACTCATTAAACTGAATTCCCCATGCACTTATCCAGAGGGAATATGAGCTTGCAAAAGAGAATTTTACGAAAAAATAATGAACGGTGAAAGAATATGTACGTATATCTATTTAATTAAAATATCGAATTGAACACAGCCACATTTGTATATAATAAAGGCAGTATTATACAGGAACAACATTTTTCTAGATTACAGTTGCCCGGAAAATTCATACTTATTCAAAACATTTGTAAATCTACTTCCATTCTTCGTTCTTGTCCTGGGGAACCACCAAAAGGATTTTCTGAATGAAACATGTTGTTCGATCTAAAGAAAGAAAAAAAAAAGCAATGTGCATAAGAGTACCAAAGGTTTTATACTGAATCTGATGTTGTTTTCAAAGATGTTAATTTCTATCCCGATTTTTATTTTGTTTTTGATTTTATTCAACTTCGCTTTACAACATAACATTACACAAACAATAGTGCGTTTACAATAAAGGGATTTTTTCACTCACGTATCACGTCTGAAATCTCGCGAGGTTTTGATCTCCATAAAACACCTATAAGGTAGAGAGGAATTCCAGCCACGATAAGGATGACAGCCAATAAGCTTTCAGCAGGCTTCTGTAGACATGTTAGCACTAATATCAGAAGACTCGAGGCTAGCAGAAAAATCGGCAAGACAAGAGGAAGCTGGAAAACAAACCAAACACCTTTTGATATATAGACCTCAGAGAAAGCATAATTTCATCGAGTACCAAGTGCGAGGTCCATATGCTTTCTCTATGTTCTTTAATCTAAGGACTGTATTTAATCAAAAGGCTATATCTTTATTATTCTTATATAACTAAAAATAACCGTACCATCCTAAAATAATCTTTTTGAATTAAAAACTGTTGCATTGCCCCATTATTTTTGTCCCGGTTACCTTAATAGGTCTAGGAAGTTCTGGTTCCTTGATTCTAAGGTAAATCTGACCAGCGAAAACACAGGAAAGGACAATAGCAAAACCAAAACCCATCATCTCAATAAGGAAGAATATCTCCTCAAAACTCTGCATAACCAGTGTCAAAATCAGCTGAAAACCACAAACAAAGTCAATAAAAATGGGGGAAATATAATTATTAGAAAATACATTCTTTTTCAAAGTATTTATAAAGTATACGTACAATGATTAGAAGAGATGGTGCTGGAGTTAGATATTTAAAATTGATCATGGAAATGATCTTTGGAAGATGGTTGTTCTTGGCACCAACGAAAAACAACCTGGAAGGGAAGGGAAAGAATGTGGACTAATGATTTCAAATACATGTATTTAAAATTGTCAATGCAACCCTATACATGTGTACGTCTTGTCATGTATAAGTGATATTAAGGTTTTCGTTTTTTTTTTTGTCCTGGCAAGCAAAATATACAATCATTATGGCTCTTGCTCTAACACAAGTATTCAGATACATGTATTTTTATGCATATTTTTCAAACCTTGACATAGATAAACAAGTTCCATTCATGGACCCCATTACTGAAATAGCGATCAGGATCGGCATAATCCAAGCAATGACTCCTACTGTCTGCTCAGCAAAGGTCTGCGGATGGAGAGGACAAAAGCAGAGTCACACAATTAGTGGTGAGGAGGTTGAGGTTAAAATTAACTGCTATGAGTGCGAAAACTAAAAAAAGTTAATCATCACTTACAACCGCCACGGCAGACGATCTCAGCATTTCTGTTGGCGTCAGGACTGAGAAGTAGGCGATGTTTGCAATCAGATACACGAGAGTCACGATGGTCATCGATATTATAATGGCCAGTGGTAAATTTCTAAACACAAGACAAGAATATCATTGATTAAAACAAAATTTTAACCAATCAAATCTATTATTAAAATTATAGGGAATCGAAGCTTGTACATTTACTAGAAATTCAACAAATTTTATCGTCCCTTGTGGCCCCGCCCTACCATGATTTTGAACGAACTGCAGTCTACACTACCTGGGGATGCTTCCGTATAAAAATGACCAATCATCGCTTTGCTGTTCTTAATAAGATTTTCCTACTGTATATATTTCTATGTAAAACTTTGATCGTCCCTTGTGGTCCTACCCCCGGGGGTCAAAATTTGAACAAACTTCAATCTACACCACCTGAGGATGCTTCCATGCAAAAATAACCAATCATGGCTTTTCTGTTCTTGGGATGAAGGTTAATTTCTAAAGATTTTTCCTATATATTTTTATGTAAGACTGTGACCCTGCCCCATCCCCGGGGGTCATGATTTGACTGAGAATTGTACTATATCTTAACCTGAAAAGAAGTGTACAGATAAGGGTCATTTTCCAACGGCGTGTCGGTAAGAACAAGTCAAAGGGTTAAAAATACTACTGGCTAGAAATTAGCCTCAGTTGAATTTTGCCCATCACATACGATATTACAATGAAGAATCATTGAAAAAATTACTTGTATCATTAAAAACTTTGTGGTAGGGCCGGACATCAATTTTTATATTTAGCCAACTTTAACTTTTCAAGAGTTTCATGATGCCTAAGACTTTGGTGATGAACATTTTTCCGATATTGAAAACTTGCAACCTTAAAATTAAAGTAGGTCATTGAAAACTTGCAGCCTTAAACGTAGGTCATGGGTAAAATAAAACACTTACTGGTTTAAATAAGTTTTGTATCAATTGTTACATATAGAGAAGTGAACGTCCTCTAATCTTAGAAACAGAATCAATATTTGAACTCCTTTTGAAAAATTTTTTCATTCTAGTACTAATATACAATATTTGTTACATATAAGCCTTTTGGTTTTCCTTTGAGGTCCTCTGAGCAAAATTATGACCTACAACACTTTTCTGTGGACGTATCCGTATCGGATATACCATTTTTGGAACAGGTTCACAAACAGGGAAACAAAGATTTTTAACAAGGATCACTTATAACAGGGTGCAAAGTTCTATGTTACACCAGTGGTTTAGCATAAGCAAATTTAGCATTTAAACAGATTCCCTTTAGTCAAATCAGAAATAAGGTCAAAATGCAAATATATTTTTAAAATTAATATAAACACATGCATTCACAATAACATCTTATCAATTGTCTGACATTGTATGTCAGGGTTATCCACTCTGCCCATGATCTTTTGAAACCATTGATACTGTAAAATTGATGTTACAATTACCTATGTGGATTGATCACTTCATCTGTCAAGAAATTCAGATAGCTCCTGAAATTCAGAATATAATTATTAAGAATTGAAGAACTACTTAAGTTAAAAGAAGGAAAGCTTAAAATTTCAATTGAACTTGATTGTATGAAAACTTGCCATCCTCCAAAGGCCCAAAACCCTGAGTAAAATGAAATGGCGATTGCACCTGCACTAAAGTCGCTGCCATCAAAAGCTTTGTTGAAATTTTCAACTTTTCCTAAAAAAAATTAAAAAAAAAAATAATTTTTTAAAAAGAGTATGTTTAATAGTAATCCATTGACAATCAAAGTTATTTTCAGTCCTGTATAAATACGCGAGGACGACTCGGCTATTCAAAACGGTCATTTATCAAGGATCAAAATAGACTCTATTTAACTTGAGGTACTTTAAAACAACAAATATTGAGTGTTCCCGTCGGATTCTCTTCCAGGGCTGGGTCAAGTGGACTAGATAATCAGGATAACTACGATTGTGTAGAACTGTGGCTCTTTAAGGTTTCTAACAGCTAGTCCTTCAAAAACACTTTCTGTCAATTTCCTCTAGTACTTCTCCGACGATGAGATTCCTCTTGAAATTCTCACAGACGGAAATGTCCACTATTGTCAGACTTGATTGAGATCTAATTACTGGGGAACCCTCAAATAGGAAAAGTATGAGTGCGATCTAAGCTCCGGGATCTCACTGTTGTGTATTAAAATGGATTCAAGGACCAGGGCGCATGAGAATAATTTACAAAATACAGTGTATCCGGAAAAATAGGCCAATGCTTGACATGCATCGTCAACATTTTTTTAAATCACAAAATCTGGCAAAATTTCATTCAACTAAAATTTTAAAATATTGACTAGATGTATTGTCCGCTTACTTAACTTATATGTGAATGTTATAGGCAACAAAAATCTAAAACACAAAACACTATAACCAAATATACAAACGAACAAGCGACAAGTCTATAGAGCGCAGACATATTATCAAATATCATTCCTTAGAAAACAATTGTGTCAACTTTTGGGGAATTCTATTACATATGCGTCGGTAGCAAATTGAAAGGGGGTACGTGGGAAGGGGGGGGGGGTAACATGCTATATTACCCATATTGGTCCATACTTCTACATAAAGTTGGGAGGAGACTTTCAATGAACATTTTCTGTAATTAAAAGTTATGTCTGAAACCCCCCTCCCCGAATACTACGTGCCTGCACTGTGTAAAAGGCATACTCTAATTAACAGTAACGAACTTCATTTGTTCAGGTTGGTCCGGATGTTGTAACATACAGTAAAACCTGTTTAAGCAGAAACCTAATATGCAATGGATTTTTTTTCCGAACTATTGTCTATTACGAAATTATTTACGCAGAACGAAATGATCGCTCCAATTTCTACAATTTCTTCAGAAACTATCTGATTTAAGACGTAGTTATGATCCTACATATATAGTGAACATCTTGTTTATAAGATCTGCAAGAATTTAAGTGTTGATTTCAATTGTTTTCTTATCTGGTCGTTTTTTAAAACCGTTGTGAAAGTTTTTCTTCCTTTTAATATGGATATTGATTTATTATGAGAATGATGTTTATTATATATGCATGTTTATGCTCTTTTACGAAAGGTTCTAAGGGTGTCATTATTTTCTTTTTGAGAGCCCTTTATTGTAAACTGAGAGCACTCCTCCACTTCTCTGCCTGACCTATGCTAAAAGTTTATAGCTTTATTCTTTAAAAATGTATTTTTGTTGTCAGAAATTAATTTACATAGACACACCTTAATTTAGAGGTCTTTTAAATAAAATCTTTGCATTAAACTTATAAATTCTGGCAAGAAATAGTTCTACGAGTAATTTATTTTCTTTTCTTTATTCAATTTTGTCATAAATTGTTGCTTAATGAAACAATTTTAAGTTCCATTTAAGCAGCTGTTAAAATGACCCAGTTAGTGACATGTAATTAATAGATGATGTTTCTCGTGAAAACAAAATTTCAACAGCTGTAGCACTTTGTAACCATCTTAAATACATCTTCCATTGTATTTGTTATTTATATTGTAAAATTCAACGTGAGAAATAAAATCATCGCCATTGAAAGAAAGTGTACGATTTTGTGTCAACATCACACCACGATTCACTTAAAAATTCAACAGAGTAAATTCGGTCATCTAAGGAATTTCCCCGGGATATAATATGCTTAAATATTTATGACACGTGTCAATCTAGAAAGTAAAGTCCCCTGGACGGCTGCATGATCGGATTCATTTCCAAGATAAACATCCCATTAAGGGAAGGATAAACGAGTGCGCGTAGGACACAGCGTCTCCAGACTGCGTTTGAGGAATATGGTTGCTTCCTGCGCGGCCTTTGGATTCACGTGCCCCTCGGTGCAGGTTGTCCATATATAGTCTTTTCTTTTTACTTTGTCGATTATCACGCTAGAAAACCCTTACATAAACGTGGGTTTTGACCCTGAGGGTAAATCAAGAAGGGTCAACAAGATTCGTGTTGATATAAATTTATGACTTATCAGTAATACAAACATTGCACTCTTAATAAGTGTCCCAGAGACTGTGTCAAGATCAGCGCAGAACAAAGAAGATAGTAAAGCAGTGCATTATATAACAGACCAGTTATCAGATAATATGTACTTAGATGTGAACTGGTGATTTGCTGTGTATGCATTTTATGTAATTGACGCGTCATTATAAAAATATACTCACCTTGACCCATAGAAACGAAGCCGATGATAATGATGAGAAAGAGGGCCAGCAGCTTGCTGGCTGTGATTACAACCTGAATCTTCGTGGCCCATTTGACATTGACACAATTTATCAAAATCAAAAATACTGTAAAATAAAAATATTTTCTTTTTCGTAACTACTAGTATAGAAATAGGCTTTTAAAGAGTGATTTAAGAAAACCAATAGAACGCTCTCACGAGATTGCAAAAATATAATAAGATATGTTCTTGCTGTATTGTAGCAGAAACATTTTATTCAAGTTTATGTTTTTTATCAAAATATTTTTGATACTTATAAAAAAAATCTTAAATTGATTAATATTTCAATGTGTTCATACCTATTACTAGGGCTGCAATCAACCTTATGCTAATAATTGGAGGATCGCAATCCAAGAAAAATGGACGAAGAATATAAGTTGCAAAAATAAGACATGATGCGGCCACACAAACTGGACAGATGATGATGAAATTTATCCACATGGACAAAAAGGCGGGAAAGTCGCCAAAGGCTCGTTTAATGTACGCATACTCTCCGCCGGATTCTGGAATCGTTACTCCTAGCTCGGCATAACAGAGAGCACACAATGCCGAGAAAACTCCGCAAACACCCCACATGACACAGGACATTCCAACAGATTTCACATTCTGTAAAATGCCGACAGGAGAAACAAAAATACCAGATCCTATTATAATGCCCACTATTATGCAAACAGCATGAAAAAGATTGATTTGTTTTTTTAATTGCACTATTGTCACTTTGTTTGATGACGCAGTCGCCAGCGACGTTGATGACGTGTTCACTATTCGGTTCTTGACGGAGTCGCCGTTTTGGAGCAACATATTTGTTTTAGGGGTTCCTTAATTGTCTCGGAAGATGTGTCGCAGAACAAATATGAAATCCCTTTATATAAAGATGCGGATGGGTTTTTTTTATGGCTATCGATTAATAGTCCCTCATCCTTTCATTTCTCATTAAAATATATATATATATATATAATGTACTTCTGGAAAGCACAGACAATCCAATATGGGTCAAATGAGATAAAATGTACATTCACCCGAGAGGGTTTAAACACATTACACTGACCGTTCTGTGAGAAAACAACTTTAAGGTGTCCAGACCTTCTGTGCCGTGTATACCATTCAATGATTGCATCACTTCAGTCGTATCGAATCGACCCCGGATCATGCACGGCGTACCTGATAAGCACTCCTGAACTCAGGAGTTGGAACATGCCCTAACTGTGTGATTTCAGTGTTGTAAAACTATTGAATATAATAGACTTTTTAAAGCTGTATTTTAAAACAGCGAATCTTTTCACTTGCATGGTTGATTTCTCGATTTTAAAAGTTTTTATGATTATAAACTTATTATCGAGTTATTCCCTGCACTGTTTTAGATTTTATTTAAATAAATTAACGAAACAAAATGTCCTTGATTTTGTTTGTTTGTTTAAATTCATAATTATTTTTTGTCTATCAAATATAGAATCTTAATTCCGAAGCAGGTAGACTCAGTTTCGAGAATTAATAATACTAGTATCACGTCTGTAACGAGATATGTATAGTCATCGCGGGATATGCTGTATACATATCGTACTTGCTTTGGTTGTGGATATGCTGTATACATATCGTACTTGCTTTGGTTGTGGATAAGGAATTCGACAAAGTTTTTTGTCGCTACTTTAGGTATTATTTCTTTAAGCTTTCTCTGGCTTTAAGAATTGTATCATATAATTAATCATATATTAAACTCATATTTTTGATACTTTATTTAACTTTTAATGGTCTGAAACAGTCCTGTATATAGTTTTTGTAATGTCGGTTTAAAAGAGTCCCATTTCGACGTCCGTAACCACAAATGGCCCTTTGTTATCTTTGAAACACAAGTGAAAGGTATGTAAATTACCAGGAATTAAAGTTAAATGTATGATTATTTATCAAATACTATTTTTAAAGCTTGGGAAAGTATTAAATACAAGAAATAATACCCGAAGTGAGCGACAAAAAATCGTCGGCGTAAATCGAAGGTTTTTACAACGCATATATATCAAATATATTTGAACAATAGAACTGCAATTTTCTTTGCATTACCTCGGCATAAGATACAGGTTTTTAAGGGTTTCTTGATGTCAACTTTTATGTTTCAAAAACGCATAATTAATATAACATTCCATACTGATTTTTTGCAGATTTTTATACTTTTATTAATTGAAATAAAAGACTTTTTTGTTCATAAAAAACATTTTTAAAAATTAAATTTGGTTGAAAAGGAAAAAAATTGATCAGTAGTACAATTTAGCTTTCTTGTCATTTTCGTTCCCATACAGCGGTAATGTTATGGTATTTGATCTGGTAACACATTCTCTCGCAATAGATTTAGAGGGATGTAGTAAGTGAACACGCTTTTGTATGTGGGTTGTCCTAAGTGCTCAGGCACGTAGCATTGATTTTGAAAGTTGGGGGGGGGCAGCCACAGAATTTTTTTTTACTTACCTGAAAAAGTTGACAAGCAAAAAGAAAAAGGGGGAATTTCACTGCCTATTTCAAAGGGCAAACTTTTTTCACTACCAATTCCTTTCAACATCATTTTTTTAAGCTTACAATACTATATTTCCTTCATGTTCCTTTACTTTAGTATAAAGTGGGGGGGCCAACCAGCCTTTCTAAGAACATTTTCAATAATAAAAGTATTGTTGGCAAAAAAGTGGGGGGGGGGGGGCCCCTTGCCTGGTGCTAATAATTTCCCCACTGCTCAAAGGTCGAAGTGCCAATAAAATAGTGTGACCCCTTTTGAGTTAATTTCTCAAACAAACTTTTTGACCGAACTATGCAGTATTTATGATTTTACATTGGACACAAGTTCCCAAAAGCAAAGCATGGTCACTTCGATTTGTTTTCTATATTTTGGTTATCAGCAACTTTATAAAAAATATTTTGATGAGACTTTCACAAAATAACTTTTATATTGTGTAATTATGCACTTCCTACTTAACTTTATATACATGTATATATGTTGATCGGACACTTATTTTAGCTATTTTCATATTAATTAAAAATGGAATTTGCCATTTTACACAGTGGGAGGGGGGTTATCATTCTGTGACCTCACTGTATACTTCTAGTATTGTAGTGGTACTTTTTCCCGCTTTCGCGAAAGGAGGGGACACGAAATCTCATTCGTCTGACTGTCTGTCCCAAAAACTTAAACCTTAGTTCATAACCTTTGAACGAGAAGAGATAGATTTCACATGCACATTACCTGTGGCAAGGCCTTTTCAAGAACACTATAATTTTTTATCCATTGACCTTGACATTGGAGTTCGCCCTATTTTTAAAAGAACAAGATGTGTTTGTGAAACACTATGCGCCCGGCGGCAGCAAAGTTCAAAAAATATATTTTTAGCATATTGATCACAGTCAAGGTCACAAGGTCATTGACCGTTTGTCATTTGAAAGAACTTAATCAGTGGAGTTAATTTATCTTGATTTTTATTTAAAAAGCTATTTTTAGCATATAAAATAATTCCATGGTGTCATTTGAAAGAACTTAATCAGTGGAGTATGCATCCCAAATATGATTTTTTTGGTTCAAAAGTTATGGCAAAAAGTGTAAAAAGCTATTTTTAGCATATTGGTCACAGTCAAGGTCAAAAGGTCATTGACCATGGTGTCATTTGAAAGAACTTAATCAGTGGAGTATGCATCCCAAATATGAAGATCCTATCTCCTATGGTTCAAAAGTTATGGCAAAAAGTGTAAAAAGCTATTTTTAGCATATAGGTCACAGTCAAGGTCCCAAGATCATTGACCTTGTTGTCAACTGAAAGGGCTTTATTAGTGGAGTATGCATCCCAAACATGAAGTATTTTAAAAAGTATACAAACAGTGGAAAAAGCTATTTTTAGCATATAGGTCACAGTCAAGGTCACAAGGTCATTGACCTTGATGTCATTGAAAGGACTTTGTTAGTGGAGTATGCATACCAAATATGAAGTCTCTATCTCTTATTGTTCAAAAGTTATGGCCAAGGTTAAAGTTGACAACAGACAAACAGACAAACAGATAAACAGACAAACAGACAGGACAAAAACAATATACGCCCGGGATCTATCGATCCGGGCGCATAAAAATTAACATTAATTGAATTTGGCCATTACTTTTGAAAGAGCGTTTATCATACACATGTATATTACCTGTGATAAGGCCTTTCTAAATATACTATGATTTTTACCCTGTGACCTAGACCTTGAAGTTTGACCTACTTTTCAAATATGTTAACTTTCCTCATAAATTCGGTTGACAAGATATTTAATCCCTTGACCTTTGTGTTTGATTTTATTTTTTAAAAATTTGTGATTTCTTTTTCATATTATAGGGGGTTCATATTTGACATAATACGCTATAAATAATGGTATCCCATCCACTAAAACACCAAAAGCGGGGGACCAAAATTCTTTGAATGTTGCTTGTCACTGTTTTCCAGCGCATTGGTACATATTATTAAGATCAGCATATATTTTTCAAGATATAAAGACTACACTGCAAACAGCATATTTTCCATTATTCTTAGGTAATACTTTTTTACTGTTTATATCCTACTTTTTTTTAATTGCTTATAACCTATAGTATCATTTTCTGCTACTTCACACATATTCATCTTTTCGGATTTGTTTTCTTTATTTTCATTAAATATGTTTCATCAGAAAATTTATTTATACATAGATACATGTATTTCTGTGAGTAATGTTTTTTTTCCTCATATTTTTTTTTTAATTGCACTTACATGTAAAACCTGATATTCTTTTTTTTTTACAGGTTCTTGTGGACAGGAACCCCCCTCGATATTCTACCCCGAAAAACTCCCAAAATAATCGCTTATCCCCCCTTCCATACCCCACCTTACATTATTTATAGTGGGTTTTTTTGTAGGGCGATTATTTTTGGGGGTTACGATTTTTTCCCATGGTAAACATGATGAATACTTGTAATAATATTTGCGAAAAAAATGTCCAAAAAAGCCCTGGGGTTGAATATCGGGGGGGGGGGGTGTCCACAAGTACCTGTGTCTATTTTATGCATAAAATATATAGCACATTGAATCTGCACTATAATAAGGGTCACACTTTAAATCTTATCAGTCGAATTGTTTTCAAGTAACCATGATAAAATTTCGCAATTTATCTGCCAATAACACGTTCTATCCATCCAGAAAAAATTATAAAGATACATTAATTTCTTTAAAAGATATGAGCTCAGTCTACGAAATTTTGGGACAACCCTCGTATATTAAGAAACAAATAATAAAGTGGCCATTAATATGCCAGGTGTTTGTGTCCAAATATCCTATTTCACTTGCTTTCATTAAATATGTTTATACATCTTACTAGAAAATTACAAATAAAAATAATAAAATTTTAAAAAGCTGAATGGAAATTGCAGTGTAAGAATAGAGACAAAATAAAATGTATTTCCAAATGATTGTCATCACCAAGATCCATAACTGGAATGGGGGAAGGGTTTTATATTAAAATTAAATATCACATTGATTTTGATACGGTGCCAGATTATTTTCTGGAAGAGGATACCTCCCAGATGTCAACTCCATAGAGACCCCACCCCGGACATCCTTGAATTAAAATGTTGAATTGTACATCGGTTATTTATGTGTTTCAGAACTCTGTGAGTTAATTTTTTTTAAACAAAATTAAAAGGAATTGTTTTGTGATTTTAAAATGCTTCACTCTTTTTTTCTGTATCTCATTTTATTCTCAGTTCTTCAACTTTTTGAAAAAGAGTTTACATACGTTGAGTGATTAAAACAGTCTTCTTTTTAATAGATCAGTTAGAAAGACGGAAAATTCCAAATTGTGGATCCCTTAATCTGTACATGTACAAACATATTTTGTAAAGGTAAATTATGAATGTTCAGATACCCAAATTATTTATGATGGTATGTTTATGATTAACTTGTTTGAAAAAATGAATGTACAAAGAAGAATTTTTATTTTATAAAATTGCCATAACATTAATGATTAAAACATAGATCCAGGTACATTAAATCAATGGCACTATGCTGCCAAATCGACCCCCAGTCAAGCAGGTACTTGCAGTAACCGCGCATGCGTCACCCACTGACCCTATTTAGCTTCTTCAATATTTTTGTTTGTGTCCAAATTTCCCAAAATACATTCATACATTTGCCCTGGACAAAATACAAAAGTCATTTCTACGCGTCTGCATTGCAATGTTTAACAAAACTGAAAGGTATAAAATCATAAACGATTTTTGTTATTTATAAAAAGGATTGCACTAATAGCATAAAAAGCTG